TCTCCCGTCTTCAAGTCACATCCTTACGTCCCGTCCTTGGAGCAGCTCTAGTGGGACTTGCCTTGTAGCGGGCCTCAAGACAAGTCCTGTATATACCCTCTTCGTTATCCTATTGTGTGGGGGTTGCTGACATGCGGGTGCCATGCCAGTGCTGCATACCTGTGGCGTTTATTTGTATTTCAACCCGTCCTCGATTCAAGTCCATTCCATCCAGCGGTCAACCCCACAGACACATTCATAAATTTTTACATGCTGTTCATTCAAAACGGAAATTTTCTCAAATATAAATTAATATTATAATATATTAGCATATTGTGCATATATAGGCATAGGTTAGGTTAGGTGTTTAGGTTCTGTTGGCGATTATTTGTATTTGTAGTACGTGGGTGAAGCATTTATAGCGTTGTGGTTCAAACACAAGTCGTCAGTGAAGCACTTGTTCCGGAAGTGTTTGAACGTCATCAGTTGTGAGTCGTGTGTAAACCGTTTTTTATGCATAAACAGGGGGGTTTGGCGGCTGGATTAACGAGCTTTTGACCATTTTTGATGAGGATGGGTTGGAACTCACAACCGAGTTCGAACTTTTCTCGAACAGTGCTTCGCTGACCACCTCAGTTCGAGCCCCAACGCTGTAAATGCTTCACCCACGTACTACAAATACAAATAATCGCCAACAGAACCTAAACACCTAACCTACTCCTAATTATACAAATATTTCAAATGCATAATAATTTCAATTTAGATTTACGAAAATACCGATATTGAATACATCGCCCGTTGACATTGAGGAATGTGTACGCCTTCCACACATACACGCATACGTACGCATTCCACACATACACGTACGCCTTCCACACATACACGCATACGTACGCATTCCACACATACACGTACGCCTTCCACACATACACGCCTACGTACGCATTCCACACATACACACACACGCACGCCTTCCATACATACACACACACGCACGCCTTCCATACATACACACACACGCACGCCTTCCATACATACACACACACGCACGCCTTCCATACATACACACACACGCACGCCTTCCATACATACACAACACACGCACGCCTTCCATACATACACACACACGCACGCCTTCCATACATACACACACACGCACGCCTTCCATACATACACACACACGCACGCCTTCCATACATACACACACACGCACGCCTTCCATACATACACACACACCCACGCCTTCCATACATACACACACACGCACGCCTTCCATACATACACACACACGCACGCCTTCCACACATACACGCACACGCACGCCTTCCACACATACACGCATACGTACGCATTCCACACATACACACACACACATATAACCACTCCACATAGTTTTTGTATTAATTTAATATGGAACGTGTTGGAATAAAATGTTCTATATATTTTTTATATTATATAGTGGGTTGAATGGAGGGAGAGCGGAGTATAGGACGAACAATTGAGTATTTTACTTGTGTAAAGGAGAAAATCTATATGTTTATGTCTCAGAATGTTTGGTAATATGTTTATTGCTTGTGATGTGTGTCTATGTATGTGTTAACACGATGTACTGAACGGGGTGAGAATAGCTTGAGCTACCTCATCCCTTTGTGTGTATTTTACCTCAATAAACTGATTTCAATTTCAATTTCAAATTGGGTATTCAGTCGGGTATATATTGAAAGGAGAGCGTGATCACTTAACCAGGGGGAGGATTTTGATAAAATAATTATTTGGCAATGAACCCCGCTTCCCCAGGAGTGATTATCTTTCTAAATATAGGTATAGGGTAAACCCTCTCGGGGGACAGGAAGCCGTCGCATTGTCGAAAGTCACCCCCCCCCCCTGCATTAGGTACGGCCCATGCCACCATTCACACACACCTGTTTACTGTACTGGTGCTTGATTGAGCGGACTGGCACGTGTACACAGGTGTACCAACCTGTCCTCCTGATAGTACGTCGTATTTTGACGCACAGTCTAAGGCCAACTATCGTCGTACTAGAAAAATGGTAGCGACTCGCGAAATGGACTTACTGTCCCGTTTTCTGTTTTGGGTCCTCTGGTTTATAGGCTAGGTTAAGGGGGCACTTTAGTACGACGGTTTCTTGACGTTGGGGGGAAACCTTATAGGAGGACTGTTGTTGTTTATTGTTTAAGACTTAGCTACTAGGAACAAAAAGTTCCAAGTAGCACGGGCTATGGCGAACCCGTAATGGACTTACCTGGCACAGGAGCGGTGCTGTAACTTGTAGGAGGACTGACTGGGTAGTGTCCTCATTACTGGAGGAAAACTCATCATCCCCCGCACCTGGGGTGTTATATATACACCAGCAGGTGTATTATACACCAGCAGGTGTATAATACACCAGCAGGTGTATAGTACACACCCCCAGCATGGCTCATACACCCTCGCTGGTGTCCACAAGCACCGACCTTGTTCTCTGGTGTGGCAATCGATACAATTCCTCCCTCCAGAATGCACCAGTAAGCGACCAGGTTATCTTGAGATGATTTCGGGGCTTTAGTGTCCCCGCGGCCCGGTCCTCGACCAGGCCTCCACCCCCAGGAAGCAGCCCATGACAGCTGACTAACACCCAGGTACCTATTTTACTGCTAGGTAACAGGGGCATAGGGTGAAAGAAACTCTGCCCATTGTTTCTCAATGGGCAGAGTTTGCCCATTGCTCTGTGGTCCCGGATCGAACCCGGGACCACAGGATCACGAGTCCAATGTGCTGTCCGCTCGGCCGACCGGCTCCCAACTCCTACTATTCCAACTAGGGCCCCGGGGGTGACAGGCTATCAATAGGGTTACAGACCAGTAATCAAGAACCCTAAATAGCAGCACGGGGTGACGTCTGACGGTCGCGTCGCGTCGCCGCAGTTGATAAATAGAGTGTATCAAGCAATAACAGTGTCTTTGAGAGGTTTGTTTTCCTAAGGACGATAAGGCCCAACCAATGACGTCAGTGCACGCCCTTCCCCCTCCCCCCCCTTCAATGCACATTGCACACCCCGCCCACTGCAGCCGTCAGGCCATGACTGTAAGACTGTCAGCGCATGACTGTAAGACTGTCAGCGCATGACTGTAAGACTGTCAGCGCATGACTGTAAGACTGTCAGCGCATGACTGTAAGACTGTCAGCGCATGACTGTAAGACTGTCAGCGTATCATCCTTGCTTGTAGCCGCCCGCGACCTGCTCTAAGTTTATAGGGTTACTGGAGGAAGGTGTTTATCTCTGATACTATGCTTAAAATTGTGGTAGTTGTGAGTTGTAGGGAAGGAGGGGGTAGTTGTGTGGGGGGGGGTGGTAGTTGTGTGGGGGGGGGGGGAGGTCGTTGGGTGTGTGGGCTGCTTCCTTGTACCCTAAAGGGGCTATGATAAATGGGATACTTACCACCCAGTCTCAAGGTTGGCTATACTGCCACACCCCCCCCCCACACTATGGTTCATACAGCCACCACCATGGCTCATACAGCCACCACCATGGCTCATACACCACCACCATGGCTCATACACCACCACCATGGCTCATACACCACCACCATGGCTCATACACCACCACCATGGCTCATACACCACCACCATGGCTCATACACCACCACCATGGCTCATACACCACCACCATGGCTCATACACCCCCACCATGGCTCATACACCACCACCATGGTTCATACAGCCACCACCATGGCTCATACACCCCCACCATGGCTCATACACCACCACCATGGCTCATACACCACCACCATGGCTCATACACCACCACCATGGCTCATACACCACCACCATGGCTCATACACCCCCACCATGGCTCATACACCACCACCATGGCTCATACACCACCACCATGGCTCATACACCACCACCATGGCTCATACACCACCACCATGGCTCATACACCACCACCATGGCTCATACACCACCACCATGGCTCATACACCACCACCATGGCTCATACACCACCACCATGGCTCATACACCACCACCATGGCTCATACACCACCACCATGGCTATAACAAGAACCCATACATTCATACATTCCTCTGGGAATGTATTCAATTCAACTCCAAGTATGTTTATATAAACAACAGAATACATTTCAAAGACATAGGGTAGTTTAGGGTAGTTCTACCCCCCCCCCTAGCCCCCCCTACCCCCCCCCCCCCTTAGCCCCCCCCTCCCCGGGGGGGGGCAGGTTTTGACAGGTTGGCTGGTGGTTGGACGGGTTTTGACTAGTTGAATATGGGCCTGACAGCTGATTGGACAGCGCTACGGATTCGTAATCCTAAGGATCCGGGTTCGATCCCCGGTGGAGGCGGAATCAAATGCGTAGTTTCTTTCACCTTGATGGTCCTGTTCACCTAGCAGTAAATAGGTATACCTATCCCCCCTACCCCCTATCCTCATCCCCAGCGCGTTCGCGGTCATTGTCCGATCACAACCTAGGTTCCCGGGTTCGATTCCCATTGGTCGAGAGAAGGGTTTAGGCACAGTTTCTTTCACCTGTTTCCTCTGGTCACCTGCTGTAAATGGGTACCTGGGAGTTAGACAGCTGTTGTGGGTTACATCCTGCAGCGGCCGGCCAGGTACAAATAGGTACACACACACACACACACACACACACACACACACACACACACACACACACACACACACACACACACACACACGCACACGCACAAGGGGACACAAGTGGAAACTGAGTCCCCAAATGAGCCACAGAGATATTAGAAAGAACTTTTTCAGTGTCAGAGTGGTTGACAAATGGAATGCATTAGGCAGTGATGTGGTGGAGGCTGACTCCATACACAGTTTCAAGTGTAGATATGATAGAGCCCAATAGGCTCAGGAACCTGTACACCAGTTGATTGACGGTTGAGAGGCGCGGCCTTACTCACACGTTGAGTACACCATCGGCTACACCATTGGCTACACCATTGGCTACACCATTGGCTACACCATTGGCTGCACCATTAGCTACACCACTGGCTACACCATCGGCTACACCATCGGCTACACCATCGGCTACACCATTGGCTACACCATTGGCTACACCATTGGCTACACCATTGGCTACACCATTGGCTGCACCATTAGCTACACCACTGGCTACACCATTGACTACACCACTGGCTACACCATTGGCTACACCACTGGCTACACCATTGGCTACACCACTGGCTACACCATTAGCTGCACCATTGGCTGCACCATTAGCTACACCACTGGCTACACCATCGGCTACACCATTGGCTACACCATTGGCTACACCATTGGCTGCACCATTAGCTACACCACTGGCTACACCATCGGCTACACCATTGGCTACAGCATTGGCTACACCACTGGCTACACCACTGGCTACACCATTGGCTGCACCACTGGCTAAGCATTGGCTACACCATTGGCTACACCATTGGCTACACCATTGGCTACACCATTAGCTGCACCATTGGCTACACCATTGGCTACACCACTGGCTACACCATCGGCTACACCATTGGCTACACCACTGCCTACACCATTGGCTACACCACTGGCTACACCATTGGCTGCACCACTGGCTACACCATTGGCTACACCATTGGCTACACCACTGGCTACACCATTAGCTGCACCATTGGCTACACCACTGCCTACACCATTGGCTACACCACTGGCTACACCACTGGCTACACCATTAGCTGCACCATTGGCTACACCATTGGCTACACCACCGCCTGTGTAATGGCGTCGGTGTAAGCCTTGCAGGTTATCGAGGTCGTCCCGTGTGTGTGTGTGTGTGTGTGTGTGTGTGTGTGTGTGTGTGTGTGTGTGTGTGTGTGTGTGTGTGTGTGTGTGTGTGTGTGTGTACTCACCTATATGTACTCACCTATATGTGCTTGCAGGATCGAGCATTGACTCTTGGATCCCGCCTTTCTAGCTATCGGTTGTTTACAGCAATGACTCCTGTCCCATTTCCCTATCATACCTAGTTTTAAAAGTATGAATAGTATTTGCTTCCACAACCTGTTCCCCAAGTGCATTCCATTTTTCTACTACTCTCACGCTAAAAGAAAACTTCCTAACATCTCTGTGACTCATCTGAGTTTCCAGTTTCCACCCATGTCCCCTCGTTCTGTTATTATTACGTGTGAACATTTCATCTATTTCCACTTTGTCAATTCCCCTGAGTATTTTATATGTCCCTATCATATCTCCTCTCTCCCTTCTTTTCTCTAGTGTCGTAAGGTTCAGTTCCTTCAGCCGCTCTTCATATCCCATCCCTCGTAGCTCTGGGACAAGCCTCGTCGCAAACCTCTGAACCTTCTCCAGTTTCTTTATGTGTTTCTTCAGGTGGGGGCTCCATGATGGCGCGGCATACTCTAAGACGGGTCTCACGTAGGCAGTGTAAAGTGCCCTAAAAGCTTCCTCATTTAGGTTTCTGAATGAAGTTCTAATTCTCGCCAGTGTAGAGTACGCTGTGTGTGTGTGTGTGTGTGTGTGTGTGTGTGTGTGTGTGTGTGTGTGTGTGTGTGTGTGTGTGTGTGTGTGTGTGTGTGTGTGTGTGTGTATGTCTGTGGGTGTGTGTGTGTGTGTGTGTGTGTGTGTGTGTGTGTGTGTGTGTGTGTGTGTGTGTGTGCGCAAACACAACTAGGTGAATACACACACACACACACACACACACACACACACACACACACACACACACACACACACACACACACACACACACACACACACACAATGAAAACAATACTTGCACCATCTTGATGACTATCGCAGGTGACGCGTTGGTCCAGCGAGAGAGAGAGAGAGAGAGAGAGAGAGAGAGAAATTATACGATCTCTGAGGCTCGATCCCCCGGGTTCTTAGCGTCCACCACCTGTCACCTGGCTCATATAACAGCAGTACCAAAGACTCTGTCCTTGTCTTTTCTCCTTGGTATTTTGTATGTGACTATCATGTCTCCCCCCCTGTTTATTTTCCGCTTCTAGGGTGGGCAGACTTTCTACCTATTTCTAGACCCTTTTACATTTCAGACTCCATTAAAGGCTACATTTTATGATGTATTCTTTGAGTCAGTCAATATCTGTATTACCTTGCATTTACTGGAGTTAGATTCAAATAATCCCCTTTCTACATCTACAATGATCTACAAACCTGTACATAGGAGCAGAAGCTGCATCAAATGAACAAATTTGTTCATTTGATTGTAGAAGAATGAACAAATTTGTTCATTTGATTGTAGAAGAATGAACAAATTTGTTCACTTGATTGTAGAAGAATGAACAAATTTGTTCATTTGATTGTAGAAGAATGAACAAATTTGTTCACTTGATTGTAGAAGAATGAACAAATTTGTTCATTTGATTGTAGAAGAATGAACAAATTTGTTCACTTGATTGTAGAAGAATGAACAAATTTGTTCATTTGATTGTAGAAGAATGAACAAATTTGTTCACTTGATTGTAGAAGAATGAACAAATTTGTTCATTTGATGCATCACGCTATTGTGATTTCTGTGTGAAGATGTTGTTGTTGTTCAAGATTCGCTACTTGGAACAAATAGTTCCAAGTAGCACGGGCTATGGTGAGCCCGAATAAAGAGTGTGAAGAGGCTGTATCGTTCCGAACTCACATCCACTCACGGCAAAGTTTTTGACATAGTGGAAATAGAGCATGAATCCCTGCTTGAACGGAGCTGGTCGGCCGAGCGGACAGCACAAGGGACTTGTGATCCTGTGGTCCTGGGTTCGATTCCAGGCGCCGGCGAGAAACATTGGGCAGAGTTTCTTTCACCCTATGCCCCTGTTACCTAGCAGTAAATAGGTACCTGGGTGTTAGTCAGCTGTCACGGGCTGCTTCCTGGGGGTGGAAGCCTGGCCGAAGACCGGGCCGCGGGGACACTAAAGCCCCGAAATCATCTCAAGATAACCTCAAGATAATCTCAAGATTGAGGAAGCAGTGACCCCTGCTGGCAGGTCCTTCAGTACCCAGGGGCCGCGGAAACAAGGGGCAAGGGATACAAGGACAGGATAGGTGGATGGGAAGGAACTATCAGAAGGAAGCGCCAAGCCATTACGACTATATAACCCTTGGAACGGGTCAGGATAAGGATTTGCGAATGGGATGGAGGGGAAAGGAATGGTTACCCAACCACTTGGACGGTCGGGGATTGAACGCCGACCTGCATGAAGCCAGACCGTCGCTCTACCGTCCAGCCCAAGTGGTTGGGTTGCAGAAGAACAAGATAAAAAACAATATATTGATATTGTATATGTATGTATATGTATGTATGTATATGTATATGTATGTATATGTATATGTATATTGTATATGTATGTATATACTCAAGTATATTGATATTGAGGCTGGTGACAAGGAAGAGGTTATTTCTGGCCACTCTACAAAGGTTATCTTGAGGTTATCTTGAGATGATTTCGGGGCTTAGCGTCCCCGCGGCCCGGTCCTCGACCAGGCCTTCTTTTTGTTACATACCCCCCACCCCCCAGGAAGAAGCCCATAGCAGCTGTCCAACTCCCAAATACCTATTTACTGCTAGGTGAACAGGGGCATCTAGGGTGAAAGAAACTCTGCGCATTTGTTTCCGCCTCCACCGGGGATCGAACCTGGAACCTCATGACTACGAATCCCGAGCGTTGTCCACTCAGCCGTCAGACCCCAAGCGAGCCAGCGTATCCGCTTGTCAGCTATGAAGGGAAGGAGGACTTCAGAGGAGAAGACAAGATGGCAAATATCTTGACGAAGTGTTTATATCTGGCAGAAGACGAACCAAAGTCCCTCAATAACTACAAAACACTAAATGATAACTAAACCAAAAAAAAAAAGGGGGGCCTCTAAAAAGGGGCCTCGTAGCCTGGTGGATAGCGCGCAGGACTCGTAATTCTGTGGCGCGGGTTCGATTCCCGCACGAGGCAGAAACAAATGGGCAAAGTTTCTTTCACCCTGAATGCCCCTGTTACCTAGCAGTAAATAGGTACCTGGGAGTTAGTCAGCTGTCACGGGCTGCTTCCTGGGGGTGGAGGCCTGGTCAAGGACCGGGCCGCGGGGACACTAAAGCCCCGAAATCATCTCAAGATAACCTCAAGATAACACGTTACCAAAGAGTAATAATGACCACGATGACGACCAAAGAGCTAGAGCTCAACCCCCCGGCAACCACAATTAGGTGAGTACACTGAACAACCATCTTCCTGAACTGAACATTACTAGTCAGAAATACCCGTATACACCGGACACAACCGGCACGAGACACAAGTAACACCCTCCAGAGGCAGCCAGAGGCTCGGGGTCCCGCCCAGTCAATCAATCAACCAATCAACCAATCAATCAACCAACCAATCAACCAATCAGGTCTGGTGACTAACCAAGCAATAAGGGACAGACAGATGGCCTTCGTAGCCTCAGATCTAAAAATATTATCCCTACGTTATTATTTGGTTGTTTTTTGGTTGTATCCGCGTTGGTGAAGTCGTCAGCGGGGCCTGGACCCGTGGTGCTGGGGGCTGCTGATGTCATTATATGCTGGTTGACGTCAGATGGGGGGTGGGGGGGAGGGGCGTGTGGTCTGGTAACTCACTTCTCGGGACGTCACATCCGCCACCTATCCTGACTAGCCTGACCATCCGCCACCTAGCCTGACTAGCCTGACCATCCGCCACCTATCCTGACTAGCCTGACCATCCGCCACCTAGCCTGACTAGCCTGATACTAGCCCGGCCGCCCCCCCCTATATATTCCTCTAAGACAAGTGGCTGCTTTGCCAGCTGGTCACCCAGGCTCGTGTGTGTGTGTGTGTGTGTGTGTGTGTGTGTGTGTGTGTGTGTGTGTGTGTGTGTGTGTGTGTGTGTGTGTGTGTGTGTGTGTGTGTGTGTGTGTGTGTGTGTGTGTGTGTGTTTACTAGTTGTGTTTTACGGGGGTTGAGCTTTGCTCTTTCGTCCCGCCTCTCAACTGTCAATCAACTGTTTACTAACTACTTACTAACTACTTTACTAACTACTTTTTTTTTTTCCCCACACCACACACACACACCCCAGGAAGCAGCCCGTGACAGCTGACTAACTCCCAGGTACCTATTTACTGTTAGGTAACAGGGGCACTTAGGGTGAAAGAAACTTTGCCCATTTGTTTCTGCCTCGTGCGGGAATCGAACCCGCGCCACAGAATTACGAGTCCTGCGCGCTATCCACCAGGCTACGAGGATGTGTGTGTGTGTGTGTGTGTGTGTGTGTGTGTGTGTGTGTGTGTGTGTGTGTGTGTGTGTGTGTGTGTGCGTGTGTGTGTGTGTTTACTATATGTGTCTGCAGAATCGAGCTATTAGCTCTTGGACCCCGCCTTTTTAACCAATCTATTCTTCCTCTATTATATATACTACATATATTTCTC